TAGCAGCACCCTCCCCAAACACCTGGTGCAACTGGGACTTCTTGTGACAGGGACTAGGAGGCATCAGTGGTGAGGAGGGTTGGCAGCAGGGTAATGACTGTGTAGATCAGAATTTGCTCATCTCTGGAAGATTTCAGAAGTCATGCTCGCTTGCTTATGGGACCTTTGGTTTGAATCCTCCTTGCTCGACAATTCCTATTCTCTTGGGCTCTAGTTTTGGTTTCCCTGTTTCTCCCTGGTCCTCTGGAATATTGGTCTTCTCTCTGCTTCCTCATGTTCTGACCCCATGTCCAGGCTGGCTTTCATCCTCCAAGCCTCCTTGGTTGATGAGGAGGTGTTCTGACTCTGGGGTCCACTACCTTTGGGATATTTATGGACTCCTTGGATGAGGGTGTGAAAGATCTGAAATTATATGGAAAATCCAAAGTGCGTTTTTTTGTCACAAAACTAAAAATGTAACATATGATGGATTATTCACGACCATCACCTTCCATTTTAGGAGAATATTTGTCTGAAGGGCTCAGGCTCCTCCTCCCCTTTTCAGGGTTAGTGTAGAAGACTGGAAAAGGAGATGGTGAGAGAGGTTAAATTACTTCCTGGAGAAGGGGTAGGGGAACAAATCACTGAGGAAAAGATTAGAGGGAAGAGAGGAGATGTGAAGGAAGTATAGGAATGTGGGGGGGGATATGCCCTGTCGAGGTTTTGAGTGGACCAAGTGAATGAAGAGAGGCCAAAGGTCACAAGGTCAAAAGTCACAGCCATATGGTGTGAATCTGGGAAGTGCACTGAGAGTTTTCAAGGTTCATGACATGAAATTTAATGGACTCCTTGAGTCCTCTTTAAAATATTTCAGAAAAACTTCCATTCCTAAGCCCTTTTAAGGTAAGCATATAATGAGTTTGCCTCTGATAATGAGGCCATCTCTATCTTCCAGAGGAGCTGGGGGAGGTGTGTGGTTCCGGGGATGCTAGTGCAGTGAGGGTGGTCTTGAGGACCCTTAGCAGTGGGGTGAGTGAAGGCTCTGTGCCCTCTGAGCCTATATCATAGGCTCTGTTCCTGCTTGGAATGCTTCTGTTTAGGGCCAGGAATACAGATAGTGAGAGACCGTGGGGAAGCCAGGGGGTGAAGGAGGCCTGGGCACCAGATGGGAGAAAAGCCACCTCAGACATCTTACTGATTCCTGCAGGGATTTGTTACTACACAGTAACAATCGTGTGGTCTTCTTTTACCATTCTCACCTTCTCTGCCAAATTTAAGTTGCATGTGTTTTAATGTATGTCTATTTTAATGTATACCTTTTATTCTATACCTTTCATTAAACAAAAAGGAAACAGTACCATGAAACTAGAGTCAGCATTTTAAAATATTTTCACCATATGCCATATCTATAGGGATGGTTTTGTTCCTACAAAAATCGAAGAAGTTATTCGTATTTCATCTTTTCAGCGCTTGTCATGCTTCCTTGTTTGAATGTCTCCCTCTCTGGAAAGCTCTGCATTGTCTTCTACCTGGGTCAGATTTCTGCAGTGCTGTACGCTGAGCTCTCCTCTCTCCTGGCACATAGTCATCCTTCAAGTTCAGCTTAGCCAGTTGTGTTCTCTCTACCCACGGCTCAGACACAACCTGCAAGTTCAGCTCGATCAGTTCTTCACTAGTGAACGAAAGTTTTTATCTCCCCAATTCTTTCTCTAGAAAACCTATCTTTCATTATAGATACGTGGCTAAGGCCATGAGAAAGAAGAATTTGGTAGGCAAATATGGCAAAGATCTTTCTGTTCAGGTCAGTATCCTGCTTCTCAATCCCTGAGTATTAAGGTTTGTGGCTAGGTCTTCATCAAAAGGTTGCAAAATGATCATTCTCTGTGAATGTGTGTGTATAAAAGAGCAATAAATGTATCAAGTGAATGTTTTCAAACATTTTCCCCACAAATCCTTCATTAGCAGCTTCAGTACCCACCCTAGGTACCCACCCTAATGTGTGTTTTACAGTCTTTGCGAACCCCTGATATGAAACTTGTGTTTTCCTTGTAGACTGGCGGAAGGAGGAGTTCCAGGAATGTGAGTGACTTTGTGTTTTTTCTGGACTTTCCTACTGCTGTCCCTGTGGCCTCTCCTTCAGTTCTCAGTGGTGATATAGATTCTGGCACCATCAGTAGTGTGGGGTGGCATGTGGTGGTGATAGTCACACATAGGTGGCGTTGATGACTTTGGCTGATATTGAATGCTAATAGACATCCTTCAGCCCTTGAACAGCAGGGTGGTCCTCAAGGGCTCTGTGACATATCGCACCCTGAAATCAGTCTTGTGGGTCCTTTTCCTGCCTGGAGGCCCATCGACTTGAATCACAAGTTCCTATTGTCAGGGTGCTTAGCCTTCCTCCCATGCAGCTGGGATTCTGGGTTGAGGGGTGGTTGTGTGTTCTCGGGGAGGGGAGGACCTTGAATGATAGGTAACTTTCTCTGCAGGGCCTGTCACTCTGGATCCAGCATCTGCCCATTCAGACCTTGTCGTCTCTCATGAAAAGACATGTGTGACCTTGAAGGACTCCTGGGTGACCTCTGGAGATACCTGCAGTGTACTGGGCTTTGAGGGCATCACATCAGGGCGCTGTTACTGGGAGGTGGAGATCAGGGATGGAGACCAAAGCGAGTGGATGCTGGGGGTCTGTAGGGAAGGTGTGAACAGGAAATTCTGGTACGTAGAGACCCCAGAAAAGGGGTTCTGGGTTGTGGGGAGGTTTGAAAGAGGATATTGTGCCTGTATTGCAAAGCCGACTCTGCTATCCTTCATGCAGGCTCCCCACCCCAGGCTTAGGATGGGAGTGTTTCTGGATTACCAGGAAGGGGACGTCTCCTTCTACAACATGGCTGATGGCTCCCACATTTTCTCCTTCCCTCAGGCTTCCTTCTCTGGGACCCTCTTTCCATACTTCATGATTAATTCAGGAGACGTGTCCCTGACTGTCTGCTCCAAGGTGGGAGGGTCTGAGGGGCTCCCCGTTGCCCTTAACCATCCTTCTCTGGAGGAGCCTGTGAGCCTCCCAGGGGCGGGGTTCAGCTCAGGCTCTGGTGCTGAAGGTCCTCCAGGGGCCAAGTCTCCCCTGCTCCCCTGCAACCCTGAGGCTGTGTCCCCCTAGGGCCTGTCACTGTCCTGGACCCTCGCTGTGGCTCTTTCTGGAGCTGCAGACTCCCTGTGACAGAGCCCTCTGAGGTACAGCCTGGATGGCTGGGGGGTCTCGTCTCCCTGTTCTGGAGACAGACTTCTGGGCCTGTAGTTATAACAACCGTCAGTTCATGCCATGGACTCAGGTTTGAGAAGCTAGACGTGGACTATTTCTGACCTAGTTTTGATTAGGCTGTAGTTTGCCATGGGAAGTGAATTTTCTGGTGGTAATAATATTTTTTTTAATACTTTTAAGAAAAAGTTGATTTTTATTTATTTTGCTGCATCAGGTCTTGGTTGGGGCATGTGACCTCTTAGCTGCGGCATGTAGAATCTAGTTTTCCTGACCAAGGATCGAACCCAGACCCCTTGCATTGGGAACTCAGTGTCTTAGCTACTGGACCGCCAGAGAAGTCCCTTTTATAGTGTTTATACAACATTTGGTTATTAAAGGGCATGAGGGCCGAATTACTCTGCAGAATAAAAGGGGGTTATTTTATTGAATCTGTGCAGAGGAACCCAGAACTGAAGGTGGGTCTCCAGTTGTATTTATGAGGATCCTGAGTCTGACCAGAAGCA